CTACATGTGTATACGTATATATACACACGTTTGCAGGCAGCGTACGTCAGGCGTGTGCAGGCATAAAACGAAAAAGACAACATTTTTACGCAATTCAAAGCACACACAGAGAGCGAGCGCGAGCGAGAGGCAGAAATTATTTTTGCGATAATTCGGCACACTGCGCACATATCGTAAATCAAATAGAAGCGAGAGCGCAACGATACCGAATGCGTTGCTTTTTTTAGTATATACACGTTATTATCTCGTTCGGATGTGCATCGACGAGCGGGGAATCGATTGGCGAGGCTCTTAGCTCGTTGTCGCGTCTGACGAGAGACTTTGGGCGTTCGCGATAATAAATAGATCGGCTCGCGCGACAATTACTCGAGAGAGAGCACTAGCTGCTATAGCGCATCGGCTTTGCAATATATATATATATATCATCGTCGCCCGCTCGGTCGCTCCGCGCGTCGCGATGTCAATGCACTCTTTCGCACGTATACATCGTATAGATGCGTGCATGTAGGCAGCTGCGCGCTCGCTAGCAATGAGTCAACGTAACATTTTTGACCTCACTTGATCATTCACGAATATGCACAGCTCTCTGACTCGCGCCGCTGATGCCGCATATATATGCGCTCGATAAAAGCTCGCTGCCTGCCTGCCTACATGCGCGTCTCGGTGCAATATGGAACCTGTTATATTACGTAAGAAAAAGCCCCGCTAGGCCGTACTACGGGCGAGGCTAATTAATTTTGGCTCACGGTAGAGACGATAACGCACGAGTGTGTGGGTGGGCCCCCTCGCCGCTATATATCGATCGCCGAGCCGGCGAATTTCAAGAACGAAGCGATTAGCTATTTAGTACCTTATCGTCTCTAGAGTGAGGCCAGGGATACGGGGAGTGAGTTTTAGTAGCAAAGTCAATGGTTTATAATCCCCGATAATGACTAATTACGATCTTTAGACAATTTGATCACATAGCTTCTCGGTTCTCTTACGTGTCTATGTACACGCAGCACATGCTCGGCTCGCCAATATATATATATACGTGCACATAAGGTGAAGGAGATAACGCAGCAATAGCCAGCAGCAGCAGCAAAGGCGGTGGCGGCGGCGCAGTAGCAGAATAGGGCGCAGAAGCGTGTATAATACTCGCCGCCACACTCTTTGAAGTTACCGCGTACGTAGCGCGACGCAGCAGTCCATGTTGTATATAATACGTAAGGCTTTCTTCTCTCTCTCTCTCTCTCTCCTCCTTCTCGAGAGCTGGCCCTACGCCACTGTATTACCTACTGCGCGTACCATACGTACAATCTACGTCCAAGCTGTGCTGCTGCACTAGCGACTATTAAAGCTCTCGAGGGCACTAGAACCTATCTCGCTTTGTAGGCAACTCGAACACGGGTCTATTGTGTGCGAGCGAGAGCCGATTCGCCGACTAAGAGAGAGAGAGAGAGAGAGACCATAATTGCTTCGAACGCACATCTCTATGTTAGACGTCGCGGCGCGTGATGCGCGTTATGTGCTGCGCGCGGCTTATTTACACCCGAGCATATAATGCTGCAGTGAGCTTTTTTTCCATTAAATTGTCAATGAGAGGGACGCTATCGTCGCTGCGTGTGTGTTTGCGTGTGTGTGCAGCCTGAGCTGCCGTACTGCAATTGAGTCAACGTTGCACATCCGACGAGTCCTCGAACTTTCAAAGCTGCGCCGTTATCGGTGAAACTTTAGCGCTGCGAGCTCTGCAGCTGCAGGTGTGTTTTGATAAAATTTCGGATGTGTGTAAGCGCGTCTGATGAATATGCCTCTTTTATCGTGTATATACGCGCGGCATTTGTCGATTCTTATCGCTTCTTGCATTATTTTATATATACCTACATCGAGGAGGAATTGAAAATTTGCGCTCCGGCTTCGAGGCGCTGAAAATAATCGACTGTAAGAAAAGCAGCTGCACGTGTTTATATGCGTGTCGCTGGTCAATAACATTTCCGCTCGTTTATTCTAGAAGCATAACGGCGCAACGATCGTGTTTATATCTATAGTTTTCGAGAGTGCGAAAAATCAGTCGATCGACGCACGATCAACGTGCGCGTTCGTGAATTGCGCTTCTATATCTATTTTTGTCAATTCGAGAGGTGTGTTTTTTTCTGATTTTAGTCCGGTCGCATTCATTTGTCGGATCGATCCGAGTATTATGCATGTTTACTTATTTATATTTATGTGAAATTCGCTAATTCAGGCTACATCCCGTGCTACATATCCGATGTTTGCTTGCGAGCTCGCATTTATTTAAATGTGTGCGTGCGATGACTAACACTCGCTGCTATTATCAAAAGTTTCTCTCTCTCTTTCTCCTTCTGGCAATGCGATTCCCTGGCCGCTTGACACTTTCACTTGTCCTGAATAACAAATAACGCATCAGCAGAAGCGTCATTGTGTGTCAATTCTGCGAGCTATTTTTCGATTTTTCACTGTTTTTTTTCAGTTTCATTACCGTTATTAAATTTTTCCATTTTACTGCTAAATAAAACTGCTAAATATTATCGAGTTGTATTTGAAGTCTGAATTAGAAAAATAGAAGAAAAAAAACGAGTCGTGCGAGGTTTTAGGTTACTCGAATAAAAATTGATCGAATGCTCCGCAATACATCGATACACATGTAACGTGTGCAAATAGACCTTCACTTTCCAACGATCGATTTAATATATAACTTTGCATAGGCCAGATAGAAACTTTTTTATAATTAGTTTAATTTGAACTCATTCGCGATCGTCATCGATCGAGCAAATAGTGATCCTTATGAATAGAGTACTTTGCCGCAGATAAGATTTAAAAATATACCCTCTTATCTTTCTAAATGTCATCGATAAGCGATGCGCTCGCAGCGATAATCTCGCTGGTAACCGAAAGCTTAGAATATTGCATTATCACGCGATTCGGATTTCGCAAAATCCTTGATTAATCATCATTTAAAGACTTTATTTTTCGACGATCAAAGCCGTAACATCACGAGGGAGCAGGAGAGAGACTGCAAGTATATAAGTAGCCTCGCACGAACATAATCATTCGGTTTCGTAGTTCATCAAGCGCAAGGTCGAAATGCGTTTTCTCTCTTCGCGATTACCGAACGGGGTCCAGTAGCGAGGAAATGGACCCGATTACGGCGCGAACCCATTGCGTAATCGGTGGGTAGATATCTCACCACGTACTCGAGCGAGAGAGCGAAAAAAAGTTCACCTTGCACGAAAGCAATAAACTATCGGGTGATAATCAAGCGCAACGTCGTTGGCGCGCGACGATGCACACACACAACATTTGCTTGCATAATTTCCAGCTCGATAGAGCCTCGGCACACCGCCACTTTCACCGCGGGCGTCGTTAAAAAATTCGTCGCGCGCGCGCTGCATTATATACACGAGACTGCTATATATAAGCTCGTGCGTTTTATTACATGACTTATCGAACGATGCTCCGTCCGTCTGTCTGTGTATGCAATATAATCAAGGTGTCGAAGCAGCAGTCGTCTGCACGTTGTCTATAAGCTTGAATGTATACGTGTAAGTGTGTGTGTGTGTGTGTGCGAGTGCGATTGTGTGAGTGTACCAGCACACGATCTGATACATAAATAATGCATTGTCGTTTTCCCATGTGAGCCGTCGTCGTCGTCGTCGACCCAACGTATGCCCTCATGCGACATCCTCGCTGCTACCGCGCCGATGTTGTTGTCGACCGCCTACGATATAGCTCTGCGCACGACATCGGCCAAGAAGTGTGACTTATACATACGTGTACGTATACGTGTAAGACGCGTGCTAACATTTCCAGTCTGCCGATGCTTCTGAATTTATGCATTAATGGTAAAATATCGGCCAGTCTACAGTAGCGCAGCAGCTAAACCGTGAACGCACGTGAGCGATATCGATTGCTATTACAAACTCCTCTGAAGAGGTCCTTATATGCGCGCTTCGACGTGCGGCTTTCTACTGGCGCCCTGGAAGTGTTGTTGCCACGGGATGACACGATTGCAGATCGATCGGTAAATATTTATGTTGCCCGCGCTGCTGCTGCTTTGTTTAAGCATAGAAAATATGCTTTGAAGGCTTGGGCGCGCGTGGATATAACGAGCGCAGTCTCGAGACTGAAGGGAAAAAAAATGACACTATACGCGAATGAGAATGCAAAACTGAAAATCGGCTGATTCAGTGCCGCGCATGGATGCAACGGCAGCAGCAGCAGCAACATCGCAACTCTCTTCTCCGGAGCGCGGGGAAAGCTGGCGCATGCGAGATGCCATCGTTGGGCGCCGCACCTCTCTTTCACTTTCGCGATCAGTTCTCACGAAATATTTATTATGCGCGACTAACACACATAAGTGTCTCGATGCTCACCAAGCTCGGCTTGCGCCAAGGCGATATAGAGACGCGAGTTATATAGAGAGTCCTCCGCACGTACGGGCGTTTATTAATAGCAGCTCGCGAGCGCGCGCATTTATTGCATTAGCCGAGCGATTCGTCGTCGCGGTCGTCGCAGTTGCAGGTATATCATAAGTGTCGCTAATCGAAACGACGATTGAATCGCGAATACTTACCCAGACGTATACTGATTATGCAGCCGTACTGTGTCACTTTTATGAATTTCATCTGCGTATGAGACGTATGGCAGCGGGTAAGGTCGATTTATGTCTCCTGTCGCCCCGTGTTCGTGCCTGTTACTGCCTGCCTGCCTGCCTGCCTGCGCAATCGCGTATTCGCCGCCGCTGCAGACTAGAGAATTTCCTCTTTTTCCTTTTTTTTTATTCTTCTCTCTTTATTCAAATTTCTATTCGCAGTTCCTAGGCGTACTTGCGATTTATTTTTCAATGACATTTTATCGTCTAGAGTTGAGCGATGAAGACGTTCGAAATAATAAGTCTCGTGTAATGACTTTTCTTATCTTAATAATGATTGTTTGGGTAAAAGGGAATTAGGTAGAGGTAAGAGGATAGGTATATCAATAAATATTTAACCAACAGTCGATTTATTTTTAAATGATTTTTTAATAATTTCGATAAAAAATGATATAAATCGGATACTTAATAACAAGATAATAAGTATTATAAACAAGGGGACTAAATACAAATGTACAGTGGATTTTTTAAAGTTAGTCATTAGCATAACTTTATTCTTTCTTACAAGTATAGGCGAAACTTAAAGAGCTAGAATAGATAATATAAAGACAATTATATCTTCTGGATTATCATTACATTGCTGATAATTATTTTTTTTTTCGTAAGAGTTTTAAACCTTTTCCAAAATCATCGGATTTTATCGAGATTTTGTTTTTGCAAACGCGCCCTGGTTGTTACATATGGTACATGATAAAACGAAGAAATATAATATAAAACACAAACTCTCCTCGAAATAGTTGCACAAACTTGGTCGGAAGAGAGAACAAACGCAAGAATATAAAAATAAGAGAGAGAGATAGTTTCAAGAAAAGAAGACGAATAAAAAAGTTCCAAAAGTAGCAAAGTAAATACAAATTTCGACAAACAAAACTAAAAAATTGATATTAGCAAATCGACACTGTGTAAAAATATTGCTATTTTTCTTTTTTTATCAGACAGCTATTTTTTTTTCCATTACATTATTAATCGTCGATTATTATAAGCCCCTGGACAGATACAGATTCAAAATTTAATAAAAACTTCACTCGCCCGTTATGGATTATATATTATTATTATCATTCATTTAACTCAAAAATAAACTCGCCTATCTCCCTTTGTATTGCAATTTCGTAAAACTGATTTTTATTGCACTGTGGTGTACTCTCCGCAGTGTTTCTCAAAAGTTTTTCTATTTTATAAAAAGTATAATTAAAATACAGAAAAGAAATTAAAATATCGTGAAAGCTCAAAACTCTGATTCGACAGTTTTTGACGATTTGAAAAGTAGCCTACGAAGCTATTAGACAAATTAAAAAATTTTGAGCAATATTTTTTTAAACCAAAATTTACACGATCAAAAATTTAGTTTGAGAATGATGATTAATTTTTATCTGGAGAGTATATTTCATTTTAATATCATCTTTTCTTTTTTTTTTCATTTCACTTTGCATTTTACAAGAGAAAAAACTCATTAAGCTTGCAACGACTTGCCGCGCGTACACCTAACCATGACAATGCTCAAAAGACTAGCCCCGACTTCTAATGCGCCGCGCGCTCCTCTGTTTTTTCAACTATGCAACATCCAGCAAGCGGCGCATCGTTTTATAAGGTACTTTAAGAAAAGACGGATAGTTATTACATATGACTCCGAATGCGTTTTTGCCATTTTTTATATACATGTACACCAAGCGCAATACGATATAAAAGTGTCCTTTCTTTACGATAATTATTTTACACAAAATGCTGAGCACTCCTCAAGGACGAAAAGTTAATTTTTCGCTCGTAACTTTTATTAATATTATATATTTATATACGCTCACTACTCGAAGAAAACTGTTAAAAAATGATGCAATGCCTCATTTTATTCTTATTTATACATATACTTTTATCTTTTTTCAATTCGACAATATATACAACGCGTTAAAATTTGTGTTAAAAACTACTACACATTTATTTGTCTTGTCATATGTGTATAATATATATTTATACTTTTTTTCGTCAACTTTGAATTTTAAAAATTGGAAAATGTTCTTCTCAGAACACAAGAGCCCACCCGGTCGAATTTTAGTTTAGACCACGTACACCCGCTACATCTTATGAAAGAAGATATCTTTTGATGCCAGCAGAGTAAAGCTATATCGAGGGTCCATTTTTTTAATGATCATTATTTTTACCCAATCTTATCTCTGCATTGAACGCATAAATATCGGGGAAATTTTATGAAATTTTATTGTACGCTACGTTCAATTTTTTGCATTGTTAATTTTTATCGTATATGCAACAAAGCTAAGCGCAAAGAAGCTAATCACCTAGAATTAACGCGTATCAAGTTTTTTTTTAATCTAATTCTCATTTTTTTATTACGTTTACGCACGAATACTATCAATACGACTATTTTTAATATTCAAGTATAAAAAAAACATCACTGAATTGTATGAATACAATTTGCACAGATACAAAGCCGAAAATCAATTATTATCAATGATTTATTACACCCTGACAATAACATACGTATTACTAGCAACTTTTAATTATGTACATCGCATCAGTAAAGCACAGGATTATTTTCATCGTATTTTATTGCCAAATACCAATCGACTAAAATTGATCATTCGAATACAAAACCGCAGGAATTGAAAGCCGCGACACACGTGATATGTTCCGTGTGATGATGCACCGACAAAGAACTGACTATTTTCTAGGCTTTTTCAAAATTACTCTTATCGCTTGCTTGCGCCAGCGTCTCTTTTGCTGCAGAACCTTTTCAACACCGTGTCGTATATCATTTGGCTCACGCACATTCTTATCTGAAATTCCGCCCAATTTACTTCTCCCTTTTTCCCTTCGCTCTTCAACATATTTCACAGCCTGTTTTATACATACATATATTGTAGTGATTTTCCTACGTTTGTCGGTGTGTGAGTGTATACGTATGTTAGTGTTACGGTGTGTGTCAGTGTATGTGTGTGTGCGTGTGCGTGTGTGTCTAGCTATAATCCTTACTTTTTTCCTTTGTCATTCTCGTAAAAATTTCTATGAACTATTTTTGCCGAGAAAGCTTGCCATTGTCAGATCATCTCTCTTTTTACGAAATTTCGCTTCGACTTCCGCGCCTCATTTACCTCAACCTTTTCTTTGCACCGAACTTACAAGCCGTTTCGTTTTTCTCTATTTTTCACTTAAAATGCGTGCGATCAATTTTTATTATCTTTTGTTTTGGCTAAAAGACGATTGTTTCGTACTAAGTATTATTTGATTAGCAGCATTTGCACTTAAATAAAATCCTAAATTTTTTCTTTTAATTTTTCTCGACTGGGCCCTGTATTAAATTTTGTACAATGGTTTATTTTTTAATCCTTCAAAAGATTTGAGGCGGTAGGCACTGTTTTTGTTTATTTCGTTTAAAATTTTTTCATTACTATTATCTTTTTTATTGTTGTTCGTTCCTGTATCAGTTCATATCGGACCTTTTTGTTATCTCTCTTTCTTTTTTTATCTCCAAACTAATTTTCAACATCTCGCGAGTTTTTCGTTTTCTTTCTTAATGGCTGACACAAATCGATAAACAAACGCAAAAAGGGCTAACTTAATTTAAATCGCATCGATAGTTTTAAGCTTCGAAAAATCTCTTTTTTCTTTACAAAATACACGAACGCATACATGTCTACGTGAATAAGAGCGCTATCTTAATAAACTTTTTTTTATTGTAGCAATGGCTATCTCTCTCTTTCATAAATTTCCTTATCGCTCAGCGAGAAAAACAGAGCCAAAAGAGAAAACAAAAAGTACTAAGGATCTTCAATAGCAAAAGTAGAGAAGAAAAATTATGAAGAGTAAAAGTAGTCGAGTTGCACGAAAGTTAAAATAAGATTGCGTTTTAGTTTATAAATCAATTATCATAATAGTAATAATAAAGTGTATTTTAAATTAACATAATAATAATAAAAGAAACATGAGATCAAGGTTTGATATCGATATAGTTTGTACGTAAAGGAATAATTATAACAGTCTGTGCTGTCTGTAATTCATCCCTCGTATTTCAATAACAATAATCCGGACACGTTGCTCTTTTTTCTCTTTTTGTTTTCACTCCTGTATGTGTGTGTCGATCGTGTATATGATTCGCATTAAAATCTCGCATCCCTTTCTGATTGCATAAAAGTATATATGTGTAGCTCTTTTCAGCTGTCACTCTCATTACATTACTTACTATGTATAGAAGACGACGTCGCACAATGGCGCCGCACTCTCTCATATAAATATTTTTTTATAATATATATTTGTATATATATCGTATAAGAATTCAAAAACAAAAACAATAAGAACTTTGTGTATAGTGGTGCGATGTCAAAACGTACCTTTGCTATCGGTATTTTTTTATACATATATGTGCAAGCAATACACATTTATTGCAATGCTTATGCTCTCGACTCGCAATGCTCGTTTTTCTTATTCGCAATCTCAAATACAATATAGTTTATTATAGTTCAATAACGTTTTATATCAACTCAACTTTGCATTTATAACTATCTTCCTTAAATGTCGCTCTTGTTCTCTCTCGGCGGACGCTAATCGTTTTCTGTATTTTCTCTTTTTTTTTAACAAAGATGTGCGCTTATCGCGTGTTTCTGCATGTATACGTGTATTTATTCTATCATATTTGCGACAAAAATCAATATATAAACGACGGGTGAGTGTGTTGAGTGTTATATTTCGTTTATGTGCGTAATATGCAATCAATGCTTTCTCTTTCAACATGCCTTATTCTTTTTCGTTTTTCCATGAATTTTTAATTAACTGTTTGTGTTTATCTTTCGTCTATACTCACAATGACTTTCGTGCCAGGGATAAAAACCGAGCGACAGTAAATCAACGAATCAGTCAAAACTCTCGAAACCGAGATTTCAGACTTGGGCTTTTGTAAATCTGCCTACTTTTATCGTTGCTGTGTTATTTTTTTCACAACTCCGTTATGATTTCAGTTGCTTTAATTTTAATGTATCAAAGAGAAATTTACGTTTGCAAAGAGTAAAAATTTTAAATCGCGAAAAGGTTACTGTCGTTTTTCTGTCGATCGGTTCTGTTCCGAGCATTCAACGAGAATATACAATAAGTCGTAACACCTCGAACTTACACATTTAAAAAAAATGAATGCTATGAACATTAGGATATTGTTTACGAGCTTTTTTCATTACAGATATAGCAACAGTGGATCGCTAGTATTTTATTACTTTTGCACAAATATACCACAAGGAAATCTTCAAATCGTTATTAATAATCTTACATACGTATCTATGTTATCGATATACACAATGTCACGGGGTAAAGGGAAAAGTCTGCTTGTCTCAAAGTTGAAACTGCGTCATCTACGGCTAAAAACTGTTGTTGAACATCGTCAACGAGGTCAACAAATTTGATTATAAAAGACATCGTTTTTGAGAGTGTGGCCGGGTGCCCGAGAGGGTCAGCTTAAACTTCGAGACTCTAGCTCGCTCTTATTGTACAAAAGTCCTTAAGTTTCTAGTATGCTACAGTACATTTACAAAAACACGAGAGAAAAACGTTTTATATTCTGAAAAATCTGCTTACACAATAAAACTCTTTAAACATATATATTGACGTATTGTATATGTGTGTATGTATGTAAGAGTAATGATATAGATATATACACACATATAGACACGTTGTGACGCAGTATGAATAAGTGTATCGTACAGCCCTCGAATAACATATGTACTTATAAATATATGCACCAACATCTTGTTTTTAACGCACATTAGGTAGGCATAAATAAACGGTCGAGCGCTCGCATATATGAAAAAGTATTAGAGATTAAAAACTGAACAAGTATACACAAACGAGAACATGATTATGAACAGAAGAAAAAAATCAACTTTTTTTCTTCGCACGCACGCCGTAACGCATGGCCAACGAATAGTGATAACAAAAAAATCACCTTTTTGCTTGTATTTATATGTACATACGTAGAGCACTCGCTGAAAAATTGGAAGCAAATCCAGACATCCTTAAGAACTGCACAGACCGTTGCTTGCTGCTTAGCCATTGAGCGAAAGGTGTAAACGTGCACAAACTGTTTATTTATTGTACGTGTGTATTTGCGAAAGAGACGTAACGCACACCAGCGGTTGTGTGGACCAGTTCAGATCAGCTGGACTCGATTTAGCGAGAGTGCAAGGAAACAGCTGGCAACCGATGAGCGCTTCCGCCCCGGAAACGCACCAGAGCAGTACTGCCTTTTAAATTGCCGCAAAGCTTTTGCGAATATATATCTCGTCTCTATCGTAAACTTCACGCCAGTTCAATAATATATGTATCTGGTATTTATTTATGAAATAATGCCGCTAACACACTCGTTTGAAAGAGAAAGAGAGAGAGTAAAGAGATCAATTGTAGCTTGGCTCTGACGACGTTATCGTCGAAATAAAAATTCGAAATAAACAAATATGAACACAATAAAATATAACGTGTAATGTGTGTTTCTTTAGTTACTCTGGGATGAGAGTATTTACAACAGCAATCTGTTTTTGCGTACGCTGCTAGTGCTGCTGTGTCTGTGCTTAGACCTACTTCGGCGATGCTTCTTATGCTTCTTCGACTTCTTTGACTTTCTCAATCTCTTTGGAGAAGAGACGCTTGATTCCAAGGAGCTCGAGGCTAAAGTGGGAACAACGATGTCGGACTTTTCGATAGTCTCGTCATCGTCGTTCGCGAGCACGGGTGACGACGGGCCATCGACGATATCGTCAAAGAGCATCGAGTCGCCGCACACGCGACTCGCGAGCTCTCCCCCGCCGTCGTTCAGCTCATCTCAGAAGGTCGCCCAATCGCTGCTTACCCCAATGTCGGAGAACATGTCTGAGATTTCTGGATTGCAGGTGAAGCCGAAGTGCGTGGTAGTATCAGCACCACCGGCGTTACGCTCAAAACTCTCCAGTTCCGTTGCGATGGTCTCCATGTCGAGATCCAGTTTGAAGTCGCTTGGTTGAATCTGAAGCAAATCCGTCAGCGAGTCGAGGTCAGCTAGACTCGTGGTGTTGTTCATGTTGGCGTTGTTGCAGTTATTATTGTTTTGCTGATCTTCGAGTTTGCCGTTGTTAGAGCTAGTCACTGCGCTAACCATGGTATTCATTTCAAGGGGCTCTTCTTTGATGAATACGCTGTGATGATTAGGAAGTGTGTGGCACATTTGGTGCTGCGGCCTTTGTTGTTGCTGGAAACCATTCCGCGCCAAAGCATTCAGATCGTTTGTGTACGTTCGCAATTGCGACAATAATCTATCATTTGGGAAATCTGTCGTAGTGTATTCCATCGCTTCTTGTTTTATTTGCTGCTGCTGATGCTGTTGCTGTAACATTTGCTGCTGCATGTGATGTTGGTGCAGAGTCAACTGCGTTTGTTGTTGCTGCTGCTGCTGTTGCTGTTGTTGCTGCTGTTGTTGTTGATGACAATCGAGACTGAAGTGATCATCGTAGAAGCTGGCCGATTCAGGCGAATCGGGTGTATCACAAGAAGGACTGCTCGGCACTTTAGCCGTGACGATCGGTGGCGTAGGTGTATAATCGTTCGATTGAGGCAACTGTTGGGGCGGCGATGGCCTCTTGTCCAACGCCAATCTGACTTTCAATCTGGAGATGGGATTCGTCGTGGGTGTCGATTGAAGCCTCTTGACGGGGCTCTGCTGCTGGTTGTTGTTTGTGTCATTGCGCATGAGCTTGGGCGATGAGATTGGGCTGGGGCTCAGCGTGACGGAAGACAGGGACGACAGCGACGACGAGGATGTATTTGGCGAGGATGACGGCGACAGCGAAGTCGTTGACGAAGCGGACGATGTGGACGAGGATTTCTTGGCTTTCTTGTGCTCCTTGGTCTTGGGTGACGGCGCGGGTTTCGTAGTTTTCTTTCGCGGCCTGTATTTGTAATCTGGATACTCCATCATGTGGAGCTGGCGAAGCCTTTCGGCTTCCTCGATGAACGGTCTGCGCTCGGTATCGTTCAGTGTCTTCCAGCGGCGCCCGAGCCTCTTGCTTATCTCGGCGTTGTGCATGTCTGGCTGGACCTCGCAGATTTTTCTTCGCTCTATCTGCGACCACACCATGAAAGCGTTCATTGGCCTCTTGATGTGATTCGGATTGTTTTTCTTTGTCTGTAACAAAAAGCAGAGGTGTTTGTTAAAAATCGACGCTTGTAAAAAAAACAACATTATATGAATTATGGTGATTTGGATATTGTCAGTAATACAACTTCAAAGTCAAGAAGAAAGAGTAAAAACATCGAGGAGGTTGACTTTGGTTACGCAGCCGAGCGCGCCTAATTGCCCGTTCCAAATACAAGTATGAGCTCGGATAGGCATGAACGAAAAAGCTTCTCTCTCTCGCTCATTCCCTCTCGATTGCATGTACACGTAAGTCACCATAGCGTAACTTGAAGTTACTCGCTCTCGCGAACGGAGGAAGAGAGAGTCGCACAAGCGCCGGTAGATCGTGACTAAGAGCTTGACGCTTTTCAGAAGTTCGTGCAGAGGTTCTCACGCTGCGCTTGATGCTGCAGCGATGCCATGTTTTGAAGATTTAGAAGATACTATGTATATTATAATCTCGGTATATTATATGTTCGCGTACGTTTATCGTGAATCTTGTCACCTACGTCTGCATCGACTAATTGGAAACTTATACGTACGCAATGTTTTTTTCCACGATATCGAAGTCGATTGTTATTTCTTCAGAGAGAGAGAGAGAGACAAACGTCAACGGAGTCTGCATTGTATTCGACGCGCGCACAATATGCATAACTGATTTTCTCGTCGGTTAATTATCTTATCTTAGACGACGTACAGCTACTAACGTGAATATTCGAGACGCGATTGCGAACTCACGGCCCACACACGTATGTTCTGCTATTGCTGCTGATCGGTAAAACCGGCCCAATTACATGCCGCGCCAAGCCCGAAAAGTACACTTGCATAATTAAGGACGTTGCGCCTAGCTTTGCTAAACAGGTATAAGCATTGCCTCTCGAATACTCGCTCTCCCTCCCTCTGCCGAAAGTATAATCTCAAAGAGGTAGTCCGCGTGTACGACGCAATTCGTATTTTCAAATGATCGCACAATTATAGGTATACTAGTCGTTTTGATTCGCATCTTGCATAGATCGGGATTCGATGCAATAACAATGGCAATAATAAAAATAATAATAAACGTAAAATAATATCTACATGAATATAAGGCTTGGGATCGGATTATAAGATTGAGAAGTGAATTTTCTATCCCTTACTTGTCCTGCGATATTCTTCCTTCTTTCGCTATATGTTTTTGATCTCGATTTTAATCAAATGATTAAATTTGAAATAATAGCAGCAACTCTTTCTGGATCATTGTAATGTTAGTTTGGTTTTTTTATTATTGACGCGTACTCTAACTCAGGGGCAACCCCTACTTCGATACATTTACGTTTTCTCGATAGTGTAGAATTAAACCTGACCCGGTGTACATACTGAAATACATGTGGTATATATTGCAGTAATAGCCCGTAAATCAAAGGGTAAAACAAAGTGAAGAGACAAGAGAGAGAATATGCGTGCGTGTGTGTGTTTGTTGCCTTATATATACAGTATGGTAGGTGAAGGAGGCCCTAACTCTCTTCGTGAGACGACGATGACTATCACTACTATTGCTTCTAGCGACCTACGGTTATACATCCTAATGCAGCACACCGTGTCTATATGTATCCTGTCCTATCCTAAGCGCGCCTCTACATATGTGTTGGAGAATAATGTGGCCGATACAAAAGTATATCATCGCGATACTTTTTACATGATAACGCGCGTCTTACACATTATTGTTATAATTACAATTATAATGTTATACACGAGTGCATATACGTGAAAATAAATCCCCATCAATTCACTGACAAAATCGACGCGCGCGTGCGCGATTAAGATCCGAATAACAAAACATGCCGCATGAAAATTCATGCTAAATTCTCACGTCTCGCGCGGATGAAGCCATCTGAAATATTCATGCGCGCATGTGTACACGTGTATGGCATCGCTCTCGAGTGGCTCTTTTTTTTCTTCGCTCGATGCATGCGGATGGATGATAATTTTTACGTAATCCAACGCGTCAAACGCTTAATTAATATATTATGTACGAATGTGTGTTGTACGTGCGCCAGTATGTGTGTGACTTATCTTCGCGCTGCCAAATGACGTGCCACAAGACACCCATCTAAATAATTCAATGAATTTTCGAGCGCGTCACACATGTGCCAGGCGCGCGATATACTACTCTCATGTGTGCGAGCTTTTTCTGCCGCAACTAAGCAAAGCCATCATCATCTCGCGCGCAATTGGATGATCGCTGGCGTCCACGAGGTCGTGGATTTTTTCCGCGTATGGAAATACGCACGTACATGTTCGCGCGAGAGATATACATATAGGCACGCGCGAAGGTCGTATTTGAAATGCAGCTAGGCACGCTGACCTTATACGCGAAAAGCTTCCGTTACCAGGAGTGTCTATGTGTCTGCACGTGATCGAACACAGCTCTAATAGTTTATCAAGCATACATGAGATTATAGCCTGTGCTGCTCTTTGCATATAAGCCACATATGTGCGCGCACACGTAGCGCGTGTGGGCATAAATTAAAGCTGCCGAGTATAAAAGAGATAAAGAAGTAAAAGAAGCTTTTTCGGATTCACGAGACGGCACGATTGGAAACGCACAACGTCGCGCTTTGAATTATTTATCGAAAAATAAAAACGCGACAAAATCCATTTCGTCGTTAGGAATATGATTGAAACGTCGATGCTGCCGTCGAGCCGATTGAAATATTTAAATACGTACGACGGGTACTTTGGCGTGGCTTTCGATGATTTTAAATTGTTACACGACAGTAACCAGAGCTTATGTACACGTAATTCTCTGGGTGTACATATCGCGTACACGTATAGACCCGTGTGTATCTCTTTCTATGCGGCAGCTTTAATTTCACTTAATTCGCTGTTTACCGTGTAATTAAAACTACCGCATGCGGCCAATGCGAAGAAGCGGCCACTGAAGTCCGACACGCGCGAGTTTGCGAATTATAGCCCGCACTTAGCGGCAATTGAGAACTTTTTTTCTCGATTCGGTCTTTTTTTCCTTCGTAATTTACGCGTTATATACTCATCGCGTTGTCTCTGCGCTTACGAAGCCTTTTTGCGAGCTTTCAAACAGAGACAGAAACCTGCCATTTTTCTGCTAACAGTTTATGAAAAAATATATGTCAACAAAACGATTCCTGATGACACGCTTGAAAAATCATATTCCTTACCAAGAAGTATACATTTATAAAGTGTAACATGTTTTCGAATGTGTTACTTTTTTTAATTTTATAATTTACAAGTGTTAAAAAGGAAAGTAATACATTATTGTATTGATAATGTAGATTTAAATGCCGAGTAATAGTCTGACGCGAAAACAACGATGACCGTAAATCGTTTCTTTTTTTCCTCTCATGTCTCGTACCTCAATTTTGGCGAGTCTAATTATTCACAAAATTAGATAGGCAAATAATGCTCAAGAGGGTCTAACGGACTTAAACGTATGCCTGACATAACAGCAATTTTTAATTTAGAGCTAAGGTGTGAATTTATTCGGACTTCAAAAGTAAAAAATCGGTCGCACGTAAGCGCGCGATCCAGGGTCATTAAATATTCAGCAGCTCACAAATCGTCCGATACTCGCGCTGTCAGCATTAATTGAACTACAGATGGTTTAATGGACGCGTGATTCCTATGTATACGTGCGTACACATAAATGTAAGCTTCGGAACTAATCAACAATATTAACAATGATCAAGTTCTCGCTGCGTATTTTTAACGTAGAAAGAAAAGGATTGGATGAAGGTCATGTGCGCTTGCACACATATGCACATTATGATACCGTTTTCCGGCTCGCACTCGTTTCATTGCACAAGTGACACAGTATATAGTTGAAAGGGAGAGAGATACAATAGCTCGTTTGACGTTAATTTTTCGTTTTCCAAGTAAAATACTGCCATGCTTACGCGCGGACTATTTTGCGCGCTAGACTCAGTCACGAGTGCACCTAACCCTACACACGAGCGTATGTAGATGCGTGTGTGTGTGTGTGCACACACTCGCACACATACCCGCGTTTAAAATAGGTAACGGATAAGCACGAAACGGTCATTTGTCCCCCTGTTATACTTGTACATACGTATACCTGTGTGACGCGCCTACAAGTAAGTATAAGGATTCTCTTTTGTCGAAGACGTGAGAAAGTTTAGAAAATGGATTCGTGACGTTAGAATGGTTTTGGAGTTTTTTCCCTTCCTCTGCTTCTTTTACAACCGCATTCTGCATTTCTTCTACATATAATTGTAGTACATACGCGACTAACGACAACAAACATTGGCAGGAAAAAGAAAAAACGAGGTCTGTCTTTCTTATTTAATGACATCTCCCTTCCGCTTTATCGCATGCCCGCGATAAAGCGGATCTTTTTCGCGAACTATAGAGAGAAGGAAAGAAGAAATTTACATCTCTTCGCGCAGTCTTACTTTTGCCACATGCAGTTGAGTCCCTTTAACATTGGGATGCGCCGCCGCAACTTTATGTCGACGGTTGTGTGCGTATACAGCGACGAGAAACACTGCTCTCGCACGAGCACCGACGTGCGAAGTACGCGCGGAACGCAGAGGCATATAAATATCCTCTCTCGTGGCGTATCGAAAAGCACGAAATTCTACGAAATCGCCACGATCCTACCACTGCCAACGAGAGAATTTTATCAAGCGAGCAGGAGAGAAAGAGAGAACGAAAAGATGGATACGCTATAGCGAGAGCAAAGAGTATTAATTTACTCGAGTTGCTGATGCGACTATATTCTCAAGACTTATTGCGCCGTATTGATTTCGAATGACAAATTTCTGCAGCCTCTTGCAAGGGTCATTAATACTCACGAGTAATTAAAAAAATCAACGCTGCCTCGGCGAGTAAACGAAACAATTTGTCCGACGATGCACATCTACGAGTGAACGCAATGGCCTACGCGCTATACGCATTAGATCTCTATTTTTTCTTCGGTGGTAATTACATATACGCGCAGGAGAGCCCGCGTACGCGATTATATACTCATTCAT